TTCAGTTTCCCCGGGAAAGGTTTAAGTAATTGTAGAGATGGATATTATGTTGAGTGTGGTCTTAGCCTAGCATTTTGATTAATGTCAGAAAACCTTCACTTTGATGATGATGGTTGCAGGCAGTAACTGCATTTAGTGCATACTTTTTATGTTTTTCCACTTCAGTTGCATCTCTTATGCTGCATTAGAGGACTGAGGCATAGAGAATAGTACCTAGCTTAATCCTGGCACAAGCAGAGAGGAATTTGCGGTGCACTTATTATAATTAATTAGGAATTTGTAGTAGACTGAAATCTGCCACACTTGGAGCTGGAGTCTTTTATTTGGCCTTGTTTTGGATATAACTCTGTTTAGCTAAATTAACCTTAAGCTGATAGAATTTTTCCCTCCAACAAAAAGTTATTTATTTTGCTGGTTAGTTATAGTGTGCTAAGAGAGGCATTTCTGAAGCAAAATCCTTTAGGAGAGACAACCTGTATCCAATACCTCCCAGTAATGAACTTAGCAGTAAATATACCACAAGAGCTCATTAATCTAACTCTGCTTTCCAACCAAGAGGGAGCACCTGCTTCTCAAGAGACAGAATTTCATCTCTAAATCTGGATTGGTTTTAAGGATCAGAACAGAGGTAAATGTATTGGCCTTCTGTCCCAGTGTGTGCAAGTTAATAATGTAACTGCTGTCAAAGCTGGTCCTGAGACTGGAACACGCATGCTACATAGCGCCCATTCTGATCTCCCAGGCCCCTGAACCAGGGAGAAAACAGCAACAATAATATGATTGGGAATTAATAAAAAAATTCTTCAAAACTGTGTTCCTACAAAATTTGCTCTAGTAGGGTGATGCATAGGTCATTCAAAATCTTCAGGCAAAACTTCCAAAAGCGTCCATTCCACTGTCAGAAGTGACTTTGGAGTAGTGGGATAGTTTCATAGTTTGTAGGGTCAGAAGGGACCTGAGCAGATCATCAAGTCCGACGCCCTGCCCTGGGCAGGAAAGAAAGTTGGAGTCAAATGACCCTGGCTAAATGATTATCCAGCCTCCTTTTGAAGACCCCCCAGGTAGGAGCGAGCACCACTCCCCTTGGAAGTTGGTTCCAGATCCTAGCTGCCATGACTGTGAAGTAGCACTTCCTGATGTCCAGCCTGAACCTCCTCTCAGTCACCTTGTGGCCGTTATTCCTAGTTACTCCTGGTAGTGCTTGGGGGAACAGGGATTCTCCTGTACCCCGCTGGCCCCCCCTGGTAAGTTTATAGACGGCCACCAGATCCCCTCTCAGCCTTCTTTTGTGGAGGCTGAACAGGTTCAGGTCTCATAGCCTCTCCTCATAGGGCCTGCCCTGATGCCCCCTGACCGTGTGAGTAGCCTCTTCTGGACCCTCTCAATGCTGGCCACATCCCTCCTGAAGTGCGGCGCCCAGAACTGGACACAGTACTCCACCTGCGGCCTGACCAATGTCGCATAGAGGGGGAAATCCTACTTCCAGTTTGAGAAATGACTTGAGTACTTTTTGAGAATTGTATTCTTTGCATTGAATTTTGAAATAGGCATGTATAAAAGCAAAAACTAATGTGTCTGCAATCTAGTCTTATATGAATGTTAACAAAAAATCATCCTGTGTTGGATGTCACTTAATTCTGGGGTATTTTTCAGTTGCTGGCACTGTCAATCACTGTTCTATGGAAACAGCTTTTAAAATTTCCATACAGGTTTTAAATATTTCTCACAGTTCTAAAAAAGCAAAAGGTTTAGCAAGAAGGAATTGGTGATGGAAGGGGAAAAGGTTAGATCATTCCTAGATCCACAGGAGTAGCTTGCCTCTCAATTCTAAATGAACAACATTAACTCAGAAGCAGCAGTGGCACAGACAGTTCAATGCATTTCTGTGTAAGGACACATAAATTGGACACCAGTGCAGAAAATACGAATTGTATCCCTTTATTTAGAATCCTGTGTGCAGCGCTGACCACAGCGTCTCAAAAAGGAGGTTGCACAATTAGAGGGGTTTAGAAGTACACAATAAAAGTGTCATTCTAGGCCACAGCAATGGTCCATCAAGCCCAGTAGCTGTAGTAGATGCTTAGAGCAGTGGGAACCAACCTTTTTGGCAGGCATGTCACAAATTAGCCCTGCACCCTCCCCAAGTGCCACTCCAATCCCCTTTCTCTTCCCAAGCTGCTGCTCTGCTTTCTACTTCTTCCCCTGTACTCTCTGCCTGATTTATTGCTTTGCTTCCTACTTCCTGCCCTTTGCTGTCTGCCTAATGTGCTGCTCTGCTTCTAGCTTTATTAGCTGCATTTACAGCATCTCGTGGAAACTAGTTCCACAAGTTAACTATGCATTATGTGAAATAGGCAATAAGAATGATCAGGGCAAGAAAGAATGTTTGCATGTAGAGAATGAAAGATGGGGCTCATTTAACTTAAAAAGAAGAGAAAATAACAGGGAGCATAATAAAGTTATATAAAAGGACCAGTCTAGAGCAGACTGAGAGCTTCTGTTTCTCCTGTCTTGGAACACAAGAACAGAAGGACATTCATGAAGTTGAGATTTGACTGAAACTAGTTGAGGAAAATGCTTGATGCAAAATGCATGATTAAACTATTATCACACAAGGAGGACGAAGCCAAGAACTTAGCAAGATGCCAAGAGGGATTGGGCATTTATATAGATAATAAGAATATCCATAATTTTTTAATAGCACTAACCAAAAAAAACCCCCAGACCATGGCAAAGGCTGTAAAACCTTCAGAGAGGCTTCCGGGTGGACAGGTGATCCACAGATTCCTGTAACAGGATATTCTTCCTCCTTCTCTAATGGTTGTCACTGTTGGAAACTTGACTGGAACTTTGGGCGGACCAGTCTAGCAATTCCTATGTTCTTATGCCCCCAGTTGGCATAAAACAGCTAACTACATCTCTGCTGTGATGCAGCAGCCTGAAGTCTCTTGTATCAGTGACTGGAGAAAGGGAAGCAATCTCCAGTCATCCCTGGGAAATTCCCTGTTGCACAGGTCTTTGAGAAAATCTAGCAAGAGGCCCATTAGGCATCAGATCAGATATTAAAGGACATTCTCATTTTAGCCATTTAACCTTGAAAGTTCTTGGGGATTAAGGTTTTCCTCCCACTTGTTTCTGCTGTATACCAGCAATTAGGAATAAAGTGAGATCAGGATGATGACTTTAAAGAGAGAGGTTTTATATCTCAGTTGGCTGTAAATCATTCAGTCCAGCCTCTTAAATAACCTGTACCAGTAAAGATCTTCTTTGTTTTTAGTACACCCAGAATTGGTGTCCTACATAAGATAAGAACATAAAGTATAGTGAAGTCTTGTTTTTATAGCAGATGCCATTTAAACTGGGAGCCAAGATAAACCAATTGTGTCTTCAAGCAATTTTTTTCAGTAATACCCATAACACTTTCTGTATAGTTTTTTTTTTTCTTACCTTAATGTAAAGGTAGTCTATTGGTTCTTGTTCCTCTCTAAGCAGTGGTCTGTAAAACAGTTTTAGAAGTCTGAAATACAAATACTTTTATCTTATTTAAATTAGTAAGTATCACAAGTTTTTGGTTTTAATATGCTCTGAGAACTTGAGGAGACTTGTAGCAAAGTGTTCTTTGGGATGTGGAACAGTGTCCTTTGGGCCATCTTGCAGGAAGGATTGTGAGACTACACTGCAACTTTTCAATCAGTATAATGGATTATGTCATCCCAGTAGTAGTGTGCTGCTTCTCTGTCACATCATATTGTCCTATTTCTGTTTAGCATTATACAGCAGTTTTAGGCTGCTCGCAGTGTCCGTGTTTGTAGTTGTCATCCTCATTTTACACATGGGGAAGTTAAAGCAGAGGGGTGAGGCCATCTGCTTTTTGTTATAAGTGTCAGAGCCAGTATCTGAAATTAAGACCCAGGCTGTTCATCCCTTTCTACAATAGGAAGGGCTGTGTGCTGAAGGGGCAGCACTCCCCACATGGGGAAACTGTGGCTTTTCCCTTGGAGGCTGGCAGAGCTCCGGGCTGCCTGGGGCCCTCCATGGTCCTCCCCCCAATCCCACACACCCACCGACTGCCTCACACACTAGGCAGCTGGAGTCTGTGGGCGGGAGACACTGGGTTGGGACTGGCCATCAATGTTTGCAAATGGGTCCTGATACAAAAAAGGTTGAGAACCACTGCTCCAGAGGACTGAATGGTACTCACTAGCTCTGTTGGAAAGAGGAGGGGGAGAAGATGATCTGCCTCATCCACTGAAAGAATGATGATGTGACCTGGCACCTGGAGAAGTCTCCCAGCTTTGATAGGGAGCCAGGGGGTGCCCTGGAGGAAAACCAGGTTCTGACCCTGGAGAGCTGAGTCCTTTACCCAGCTCAGCCATAGACTTTACGTAGCCTGAGGTACATGGTAAAGGGGAAACAAAGCACTCCCTTTTTTTTCAAAAATAATTTCTGATTTTGAGTGCCTCTTGTATTTGGGTCCCCAAACTGAAACCTTATTAGCTGTGTATTTCAGAAGTCCAGCAGAAGCCAGAGGAAGCAGAGGGTTCTTAGTGCCTTGGCAATCAGACCCTCAGTATGGCAAGTTGGACACTCAGATCTCTCTTTGAAAATGTGGGCCTTAATTTCTGCATCACCTTTTTAAAAGAGGAACTTCCCTCCTTCCAAGGAGAGTTGCAAAAGTGAATTACTACTGTATTGTTTGGACTCCAATATTAGTGTTCATAAGTTCCATAGAAAATGCTGTATATAAATAATAATCCTACAAATCCTTAACTCCTACTTAACTTCTCATAATATGTTTGTACAATAAAGCTACAGACCAGTGTCAAAATTAACATTGTTCATAGGCTTTGAGACCATGCAATGAAAGGGAAAGGGAATGCAAAGCTTCCCTGAGTCTCGAAGGTCCAGGAACTCCAAATATAAAGCTGCCTTTCAGCCCTTTAGGATGAGGACAACATTAGCAGACATCCTTAACGCTGTTCATTCCTTCTCCTTGGCAGGTTACGTGTTCTGTATGTTACATCGCCTACCCGAACAACACGACTGCACATTTGACCATATGGGACGTGGCCGTGAGGAAGCCATTATGAAAATGGTGAAACTGGACCGGAAAGTAGGGAGATCGTGCCAGCGCATTGGCGAAGGGTGTTCCTGAGTGCAAGACTCTGCAACCAAATGCTGTTCTCTTAGTTCACTAATGTTAGCCTTATTTAGGACAAAATCAGCCAGACACCTTGTACTGGGCAAGTTTCAGACTACAGCCAATCAGTTTCCTTTCTTTAGCCAACCGTCCTGGTACTGTAGTTTAGGGGTTGATGGTGGTTGAAATTGATTTCTGGCTGGTTATTAAGGTGCCTGCTAGCCACTGAATAAAATTAAAACATGAAGAAATACTTTCTCGAGCATGGCTAGTGGATTTAAACAAAACAAATAATCCAAAGGCTTCTATTATTGCTGGAGTCACTTTCAAAGCCTTATGCTGGAAATCTTCCAGCTACAGAGTTAAAACAAGGAGCTGAATAGAAGCTGATGTAAAAGTTTGCTATGCACATAGCTTTCAGACAAACTGTGTTTAATGTGCAGCCTTTCACCTCTTCCCTTCTAATTAATCCTGACAAGGTTGAAACTCCACTAAGAGCAGCCACTGTAGCTGCTATGCCCAGAAGACCTGATTGGTCACTCATGCCTTCATCCCGTGTGGCTTCTGAGGTTAGGCCGTGTCACCAGCATCAGGGATTCTGACAGGGCGGGCATGTCTTTCTGGTTCTTCCAGGAAGCCAAAAAGAGAGGGGGACAGAGATTCTTATGAAAAACTTTTATATCTAACTTGCTATGGAGAACCTGGATTTTTTTTTTCCGTTTAAATAATCTCACTTAAAGCGAACACCATCCCAGAGCAGTAACCTGTATGCATTTTCTACATGGCATCTTCAGAATTTCTAAGGGTTGTGTGAACAGATTCCATGGTTGTGGTAAACGCTGACCAGTGCAGCCGTTCACACCAGTGAAACCTGATTGGCTCTTGTTTGCCTTTTGCTAAGTGCAGGTATCTGATAATTGATCAAATAAGGCTAATTCACAGCACAGTAGCCATGGCTGGATTCTACAGACTGACTTTCTGTAGCTAGACATATATATTGGGGAAAAAAGGACATTTTGTAGCAAACGGAATTCAGTAACAGTATTGGGGAACAACCAGGAAAGCACCCTTTATCAACTTGAGTTCGTACTCCTCGCTTCCAGAGTGTTAACAAGATAATCAAATGGGCTATGTCAGCCTTGTTCCTATGCAGCTGAATGCTCTCATGAAAATATCTGCCCGCATCTATTGCAAAGCAAGTGTAGCAAGTGAATGTGAAAAGCATTACATGGAATAGACAGCACTGGATCTGTTGTTCAGACCTATGGTTCTGTATTGCGGTCTGTCATATTGAGCTGAACTGCACAGATCTCGTTAGTTTGTAGCAAAAAATATTTCAGCATGTCTCCTGCTGCAGACAAAGTTTATGCAGGTACAGAGGATTTGTGTTGATGCGGCTTGGTCTAGTCCTGTGTGGATTTTGTTTCCCAACACAAATTAATAAGGCATTAACAATCAGGTAATTCAGTAGGACATCTGGGATAGGGAAGGACTTTGTATTGTCTTGAAATATTGGGCAGGTGTAAACCATTCAAGAGGTGACAATGAATTGTCACTCCGAAAACTGGTGTGTGTGGGGTGGGGGGAGGGGAGAGCCGAAGTCATCCTGTATTCTCTTTGTTTTAAAAGTAAATGATTCCTTACAGGCCAAATTATACTGTTATTTTGGTAGCCGGCTAGAAGCATTTAACAAGGAGACAATTTAAATATATACTCAGCATCTGACTGTATTAGTGTAAATTAACCCTGAAGCAAATCAGAAATGTCCCATCATTATAAAATGCAAGCTATGGAAAAGGCTAACTGAGTTTGTTTGGAGGTTTTTTTATTATTATTATCCCAAACTATGAAATTGGCAGTAGAAATTCCAGCGACATGCTGTATTTTCAGGAAATGTTCCCACCTCATCCTGGTGAGAGGGACAATGCGAGGATATTCTTTACATTTGCCATGAGTTTAAAAACCATGAATTTCAGCTGCTGCTGGGATAGGCACTTTCTTTTCCTCTCAAATCCTAGCATAGCATTTGATGGGCATTCTGATTTATACGCGAGACTTTTCCACATTAATACTGAAGATGCTATTTGTTCTTCCTTAATCTTTTCTTTAACCCTGTTACAGGTGCATAGTTGGTTTCAAGGTGGCTCTTGAGAGAACACTACTCATAGTTTATGTGGGTTATGGACAATGTTCACTTTAAAAAAAATTAAAAAGTGGGGGGAAGGGTTGTTCCTTTGCAGTATCTGTTCTGTGAAGTTTGTTAAACGTAAAGAAAGCTTAAGTTCTTGTATCTTTAAAGAAAATCTTATTTAACCCTTTTGTGTTCTAGATTTACTTACACATGTAGCCTAGAGCTCAGTTTTAGTTTAACATTGTGAAAATATTAAAAAAAAAAAAATCTTGTAACTTTATTCTTTTTCCTCCTGCTAAAAAAAAAATTAAACCAATCAGATTAAAGTTTGAATTCCTTTCTGACTATTCCAACAAGGATTGTGATCTGCACTGTTTCTGCTAAGGTTTGTGTATGAAATGTGAATAAGGGAAAAATCAGGCACTGGGCTAGTGATTATAGTTGATGGGGAGCGGACAGCATGCTTTTTTGCCAGTCTCTGGGGTTGGCACTAATGCAGGGTTCAAGGTTAGCCATTTCTTTTATAAGCAAATCTTATTAAGTCTGCTGTAACTTCAGTATTGGAAAATAACATTTTGAGGGTAGTTACTTATACCAATCAAAGGAATTTCTTTGCTCCTAAGTCCTCTACACAGAGTGCTGCGCTGTTACAGCGGCAGGTAGATAAAGAATGTCCTCTAAAGTACATTTTTGATTAATTTGGACAGGTTTCCACTCCCTCCCCCACTCACCTATAGTAGCTGTCTTCTGAATGCGAAGTTCCATAGTTTATGGAATGTGTTCGTAATTGGTAATTAGCTGATAGACTGCATAGCTTGGATTTTACCCATCATTTAGATGTCTAAAAACACAGCCATTTGAATACCAGTAGTATGTTTTAAGCACATAGATGGAATGTCAGGATGGAATTTGGCTAATTTCTTTAAATTCAGTTTGTCATTGAAATGATGCTTGAAAATCATGGGATGTGTACCCCTATTTCCCCCCCTCCAATGAACACAGTGCTTTCAAACAAAATTGTGTTCTGTGGTTCTTGTGCACCACTCCAGTAGTGTGGGAGTAAGAGCTGTCAGGCTTATTTTTGGTCTAGTCAGCCAATATTTCCAAGAAAATTAAATCCCCTGACAAAAAGGAGCATCAAGACCCACCTCTCCAAATCCTCACTTGTGGTATCCACTTCCTGCCTTTAAATAGTTGTTGTTTTTATCAAGGGAATGAATATTATGCTGAGGAAAATGAGGGACTCGCAGCAGTGGTTATATCTGGGCAATGTGCAAGCTGGCATTGCACAAGTATCCTGCTGCATTTATGCCAACATACCTTTAGTCTTATTGTGTAAATGTTAGCTGTTCTAGGGATACAGCAACAGAAAAAAATATTTTTTTAATGAAAAATGTGGCAGATTATTTTATGACGAATGTGTCTGGATCAGTTGTAATCTCCAGGCCTCTTTTCCTGCATTCAGTTAATTTTATGGCATGAACCCAATGATATAGAATAAAAATAATCATCTCTCTCCTCCTATGATGCATGATGTATTTGTGCCTAGCTCTCAAAGGTGCAAAGATACATGCATTATCCCAATCCTGTACTTCAGGGTTGAAGCCCTAAAAGACGAAAATGGGATCCGTGTTTATAAAATGTGAACTCTGGAAGCCTTAGCAAAATTTCTAAAAGCACTCAAAGTGTGTACCCATCTGCATGCTATTTATATATCTAGACAGAGCAACCAAGTAACTTCCATTTGTCACTTGATTTGTTAACTAAAATTGTTGGTTATTTGTAGGACAGTAGAGAAGAGGTTTAAGCCAATGTGCTCTGTTTACATCATTGCCATCAAATTCATCAGCATCTCCTCCTTCCTTTTGATATGAATATTGAGCCAACTTGTCACCTACCAGTTTTTTAGTTTATTTTCTAACCTTTAAATTGTGATATATGGGCACCAGCTTCCTAGCAGTAGAATTGTTTGATCTGGGGTTTTTTAAAACCATATTTGAACCAAAACAACCAATATGATTCCACAAATGAGGCAATATATGACAGTGTTAATAGAAATTTTGCCTCCGTTCTTAGTATGCAAGAATACAACCTCTTCTAACATGATGAGCAGCTAACTCTTCTTGATTCATCTAACTGGGACTGCAGCCCACTGTTATGACCAGGGATTCTGGTTTTCTCTTTATTTAAAAAAAAAAATTAAAAATCCCCAATTTTTAGATTAAAAAAAGTAACCCAAAATCCACATTTTTCTGTGATCAAAATGAAATACCACTTTTTATATATACACTAGCAAATTGCCTGTCAAAAATGATTGGGGGTCAGGGTGGTGGGGACAGAGCCCAGCATTGGGCCCTGTGACCCTGCTCTCCCCTCTTCCCGTGCTAGTCCAGCCCCGCCCACTTCAGGCCCAACTCTGTACCCCCCAGCAGCTTTCGTTCAGGGCTGCTCCCCCTCGTTCCACCCCACCACAGCAGTCTTGCCCCTGCTTTGGGACCGGGTCCACTCCCCCCCACCCTTGCCCCTGCTGTTATGTGGCCAGGGCCGCTCCTCCTCCGGTACCCCGCTGTTTCAGCTGTTCTTCCCCCCCCACACACACGCACCCTCCCCTGCTCTGGAGCTGGGCCCGTGTCCACGCCCCCTGCCTGCCACTTTCGGCCGGGGCCTGTTCCTCTCCCCCCAACTCCCCTCAGCTTTGGGTCCAGGCCTGCTGCCCCCTGCGGCTGCCATCGTGCCCGTGCCACCACCACCCCGCACATGCAAGCCACAGGCCCAGCAGCAGGCGCAGGCCCGATGGAGCAGCGTGGGCATGGGGTGGCAGCCGCGGCTACCAGTAACCAGCCCCTCCTCTTCCTTCTGCCTCCATGCCAGCTCTTGTTGGGGGTGAGAGGGGGGTGCTTTAGCCCCTGGCTCCAGGGAGCAGCCTCACCCCCCCCGGCTCCATCCCCTGTGTTTTGACAGGGCTCTGGTCCCTGCCGTCCCCCTCTGCCTCCAAGGGGCAAGGTGGGGGGCAGGCTCCGCAGGCCTTCCCCCCCCCCCCCCCCACCCCCCCCCGCCCGGGGGGGGGCCCCCCGGCCACGGAGTGGGGAGGGGGTGAGGCAAGCTAAGTCCCCACTGTCATGGTGGTGCTCCACTGTCTGTTCTATCCGTCTAGAGCACTCTGATTGGCTGCCAAGACAGCCAGTCAGAGTGCAAATAAAGCGTTATGGACAGACAGACTAAGGCTTTTATAATTTTAGAATATTACACCACTAACATATATGTGGCGTTTCATTTTAATTACGGAAACATATGGATTTTGGGTTACTTTTTCTAACCAAAAAATTGGGGTGTCTTTTATTATCAGAGAAAATTAAGATCCCTGGTTATGACTGGATGGGAAAGTTCTTGCTTTTAGATGTATTACTTCTGCTATAATGGGTTTGTTTTTTATATCCTTTGAAATTTGCTGCTACTACTATAGGGTCACAAGCTGAATCAAAGTCAGCATCAAAAAGGTATTGGCTCTAACTGTGTATCAAGCAGGTAGGCAGAATAATGATCACTTAATTTTTCTATTGCATGATTTTTGTCTATTTATTTTTATTTTCTCTTGAGCATTTGTAAGTAAACTTGGTTCAGTATTCTTACCAGCAGCTTAGGTGGGAGTTTTTTCATTTCTTTTTTTAATGTTATGGTGTTTGCTCTTGGGATCAGGCAATGTAGAACTCTCATTCTGTATATTTTGAGTGGACTAAACTACAGGTATAACCAGTGAAATCAATGTTGCGTTTTGCATCCAAAAGATAAACGCTCACAAATATTAGTATGGTTGCTGATTGAAATGCCTTTTTGCAGATTTGAAGATCCTTCTGGTGAGATTTAATAGAAGATGCCCACTGAGTACAACAACTGAATGCTGTACTAAATAATGCTGAAATATGGTTGCTGATACGTGCAGTTCTCGTCACTTTTGACACGCAATAAGAAAGCTGTCAGATTTTCAGCCATGCCTAGGAAGAGCTGCACTCTTTGGGTAGGCCATCCTTAGCACAGAAAGTGTGAATATTAATCAACAAAGCCAAGCACAGTTTTCAAATGAGCTGTGCTTTCAGTTGCAATTAAAATCTTTTGTGGACCCAGTTTATTGATGACTAGGGACCTACTTAACTCGTGGTGAGACAAAGCCATTTTTGTGGCTTTGTCCCAGGAGGGATGATGAGGTGGCCGCTGTCTTGACTGCTGGTTGCTCTTCGTCCAGCTCTGCCCCTCAGCACTGATTGGTGGATTGGCCCTGGGGGGAAAGAGCGAGGACAAGATGGTGGCTCCCCCCTTTATGCTCCCCCCCCAGCCAACACCTTCCTCTCCTAGACAAGATGTGAGGCCTGCCTGGGAGGGGAAGACTCAATGAAAAATAAATAAATAAATTACTAAGTTGTTTTTTTTATTATTTTGCAAGCAAGCCTGGATTTCAGTTTCACAGAAACTGCGATTTAGGTAGGTCCCTATTGATGGCATTTAAACTTGTTGACACTGTCTGTGCTATGCTTAACTGTATATTGAAATGAGTAAATACTAGTTTTGGAATTGTTACTATGAATTTGGTGATGAATACCATCATCATGAGTATTGCTCCATGTATCACACGTGACCCACCTCAGGAGGCTGAATGAGAGCACCACATCCTTTCACGTCTTTCATGTCAGCAGGCAGAATACTTCTGGCAAGATGATTCCAGCTTGGAACTCTGTAAAGTGGATGCAAGTTCTAGAAAACATCATAAGAATTTGCAGCTCTGTGAAATTATGTATTGCTGGCATATGTATGGTCAAGTTCATTTTCTCTCATCAGTAAAAACCTCTTAATACCAAGGCATCCTTGCAATAGGAGTTTTTGAATGCTTGAAGCACGTGGAATAACAAAGCTCTTATTAGAAGGCGAATAAATGGACTTAGCTTCACTTTCACTGTCACTTGTATCTTCCTTAACAGACTGCTTTGTGATGGTGCAAACCAGCTTGCCCTTTCTTGCTGTTTGATTGCTAGAGTCTATCCTTAATAGCAGCTGGGCACCCAGTGCAAGAATTCAACAATTTTCTCTGTTCATCCCTACATGTGCTGGGTGCATTAATGGGAATGTCCCTTGCAAATCAAGAGAAGTAATTCTTTTGCTCTGTTCAGCACTGGTGTGAGGCCTTACCTGGATTACAGTTTTGGGCACCATACTTCAACTAGATGCGACTGGGAAGAGTCCAGTGGAGGACCAAAACAAGAATTAGAGGCCAGGAAAACATGGCTTATGAGAAAAGGCTGAAAGAGCATTATTTAGTTTGGAGAAGAGAAGGTGGGGGGAGAGGGAGGTTATATGATAACAGTCTTCAAATACCTGCAGGACAATTTTAGAGAAGATAGAGATGGGCTTTTCTGTGGTCATAGAGGACAGGACCAGGAGCAATGGCTTCAAGCTGCAGCAGAAGAAATTTAGGTTAGAGTTTAGGAGGAACTTTCCAACTATGAGGGTGGTCAAGCATTGGAACAGTCTACCCAGAGAAGCTGTGAAATCTCCATATCTGGAAATATGCAAGAGCAGGTTGGACAGACGCTTGTCTAGGATGGTTTGGTTTGGGGATGATCATGCTTTTGTCAGAGGGCTGGACTAGATGAGCTTTGGAGGTCCCTTCCAGCCCTACTTTCCTATGACCCTATGCCACATACTCAAAATACCAGAATTTAACTTTCACATTTTTACTGTCTTCATTTCTAAAGGAAATGACCATGTGTAAATGATTTTGGCTTTCTTGGGCTCTCCACAATGTATTAATGTCTGTCTTGCTGAAATGGTGGTTCTTGGAAGGATGTGTCTAGATTATGAAGCATATCTGATCATACCAGCCACTAGCTATTCTGTTTCTAATTGGTACTGTTACAGAAGATTCTGCCCAATCGAAATGATTTCAGGCATGCTTTTACCTCCCTTGGGTACCTTTACCAGCTCTTAAGTCCCACAGAGGACAGGGGCATGTGGCCTCTCCTAGC